CACTTTAGGCATAATTGTATTAAAATTACTTTAAACCTGTATGAAATCTGTCTTTTCTGGTTACTTATTGTAACATAATTATTTTTGGTATTTACTAAACTGGTTTGGCTGGTGTAATGTATGAAATATGTAGTTTTTTTAGAACAGGTAAAAACTATTTTTTTAAATATATTATGAACTTGTTTAAATTTTTGCAGATAATGTAACTCTAAGTATTGATGGAGTTCTATACCTTCGAGTAGTTGAACCTTACAAGGTAAGACAGTATTCTTAATTTTTTGTGTTTGTTTCATTTGTTATATATATATATATTGAAAATGAACAAAAATCTTCAAGAATCTCTTTCCTCAGAAATTCATATAATTATATTTTTTTTCTAATTATAAAACAAGCTGCATAATGCACCATTAACTGTGTATTACAGTTAGTTTTTAATCCTCTATACTTTGTTTTAGATTAAAGGCTATTATGCTTCAGAGTAATGAGAAATGGGCTGATACAAAGTACTCCTAGTTAAGACTAGTTTTAACTTAGAAGATAATGGTGTGTCAGTAACTAGTAGGTTAACTTATAAAGAGAAGTACTTTTGCTTAGAGACATATTGCAAATTAGAGGATCTACATTATGTCAGTAAATAACTGATATAAAAACCACTCCTATCTAAAGACTGATTGAAGATAAACCTTTTCCTCCGTATATTTCTTTTATGCATAATTGCTCCATTGAAAGTTTTTCTTCATCCCGACTAAATTTTTCCTTTTCAACACTATCACCATATTGAGCATAACTACAAAAAATGATCAAATTTAAAGATTATCAACTGTTTTGTTATCTCATACTTGTTTAATACTTTAAAATATTCATATCTATTAAATTTGTTTTCAGTTTCCTACTCTTCTCAAAATATTTTTTGTTTGAGTAAGCGGTTTGGATTTCTCACCCATACAAATAATTTATTTGTAAAAATCAAAACTGTTAATCCATACATTTCCAGCTAGAGCTAGGCAATTTAATCCTTCAACGATATGCATTAATTATGTCCATTAATGTCATATAAATGAATTGGTTAATGAAAATTAGAGTTCCTTATTATTCCAACAATTGATTAATTGAAATTATGATTAAATCGATTGTCACAAAAGAAATGAACTAATTAAAAATTTATTGTTTCTGATTAGTACTGTTTTTGATTATTCCAACAATTGATTAATCAAAATTATGATTAAATCATTTGTCACAAAAAATAATCAATGAATAAAAAATTAGAGATTCTTATTATTTGAACTATCCAACTAATCAAAATATTCTTAATATGTTTATTGTAATGTACAAAGTAACATAATGGGCTATCTGTCCTCTGCCCAATTTTAGCCTTATTCTTTTTTACTTTTACTTTGGTGATATGGGGGGAGGGGGTCATGATTCAAGGGTCTTGGGTTCTATTCTCATCTCCACTAAACTTACTTTAAGGTTTTTATCTTTGGTGATATGGGGGGGCATGATTCAAGGGTCTTGGGTTCCATTCTCATCGCCTCTAAACTTACTTTAAGGTTTTTTATCTTTGGTGATATGGGGGGGCATGATTCAAGGGTCTTGGGTTCAATTGTCATCGCCACTAAACTTACTTTCCTTCTCTTTGTTATGGCAAAGCTTCTAAAACAATTGGTGCTGCCAACTTTTTTTCTTTTGTGAACTGCTGACCAGAGGGAAGACAAATGGCTGATAGCACCCACTGCCAACATTTGTTTTCTTTTTGAACTGCTGACCAGAGGGAAGACAAATGGCTGATAGCACCCACTGCCAACATTTGTTTTTATTTTGTGAACTGCTGACCAGAGGAAAAACAAATGGCTGATAGCACCCACTGCCAACATTTGTTTTTCTTTTTGAACTGTTGACCAGAGGGAAGACAAATGGCTGATAGCACCCACTGCCAACATTTGTTTTTCTTTTTGAACTGCTGAAATTAGAATGCTCCTCAGTGGTTGTAAATGTATTATGATCATATCTATACATGCGAGTTATTTGTATTATAGTGCCGTTCTTTTAATTGAACTTGCATAAACAAAATATTAGCTATTATATTCTAAACTGTCCAGCATTTGTACGCGAGGAAAGATACCCCGGCTTCCTTCTTTCTTGTACTTTATATTTTTCATACCTAACATAATAATCTTTGGAGAAAGCATCTCTACACCAGTTTCTGATTACATGTGGTAAAGAAATGCTTTTCTAGTGGAGTTCTGTTTTTTGTAAAGTTAAAATAAAAACAACAACCATGAGAACCAGTTAAGTATGGTTAAATATTTAATACAAATCATAAGTAATTTTAACATTTGGAGCTATTTAAGCAATAATGTAAAAGTGTATTAATGATTTTACTAGAAAACAAGTGACATAAACTTTGAATTTTAATGTTGAAAAGTAAAACACAACAAAGATAAATTGGTTCACTGAGTTTAAATTTCTCCGTAGAATGTATTTGACAAACAACAGACCAAATTCTAGTGGGGTTTACATGTAACTATTGGATATTGATTATTGTTTTAGAACAGGCCATTTTTAAAACCAAATAAGTGGCCTCCTAGTGGCTCAGTGGTAAGTCTGAGGACTTAAAAGGTTAAAATTTAGGTTTTGGTACCCACAGTGAGCATAGCAAAGATAGCCCATTGTGTAGCTTTGCGCTTAACAACAAACAAACAAAACATAAATATGAGCAATAACCCAAGATGCTTATTTACGCTAAGTGACAAAGTAAGTTATTACTAGGAGTGTTAAAAAATATATATATAAGAAATGATGTTGAATAATATTTTGTGAGTGAGCTTAAACATTTATCAAATTATCATATTACATCATATTACAAACAATGGAATTATTTTCAATTCTATATCTATATGTCTTAGTAATAATTTTGTAATCCTTATTAATAATCATACGCTTACATGTCAATACGTTACCATTATGGCCAAACATGGCTGAACAAAATGGAATCTTTATCTCCAGACCAGATATTGAAAGACAATTAAATACAGTCTGTTTTTGTAGTTTTTCTCAGTATACAACATGTTGAGTGTTAAAAAGTCTGTGCAAACAACTTAATGATCCAAACAAGTAAGTGTCAGAAATATTTAAGCACTGACTGCACATTTGTCAACGGTAGTGCCATTAGATTTTTAGAAATTTTGTCTCTAACATGTGTTTAAGGAATATGTTATAAAATATGTAACTTAATTAATTTGATATTATCTTTGCAGGCCAGTTACGGAGTTGAAGATCCAGAGTTTGCCATTACTCAGTTAGCTCAGACAACAATGAGGTCTGAGCTTGGTAAAATCAGCCTAGACAGTGTGTTCAGGGAAAGAGAGTCTCTCAACATTGGTATAGTAGGTAGGCAGCCTGTAATCATTATTCCAGTATAATTCTTGCATAAAATTTAAAAAAATAATAATACAATTTAGAAAAGTAAAATATGTATTATTGTGCTAATAAAATTTGGTATAATATTTTTATTTTATTTCTCCTTCTTTATTTTGTTTACAGAAGCAATAAATAAAGCCAGCAGCTCTTGGGGTATTGATTGTCTTCGATATGAGATTAGTAAGTATTCCTTTCTTATTTTATGTAAACCATTTTTTTATGTAATTAAATGCAAGTGTGACAAGCTTTGAACTTTTGTCTCAACGAAAAAGGATATGTGATGATAAAACGATTAAAAATGGGATTGTATCTGTAAGTAGGGAATAAAGTGCTACAAATTTAGATCAGATCCCAGAATCAAACCTGGTAATGAGAATGTCTAATTCAGTATACTGTTCTTATGTATAAAGATTAGAATGCATCATCTCATCAATTGGGTTCCCTTTTTTTTGACTGCCATACTTCTAGAAGTATTTTTTTACAACATTTAAATGTTAAAGGAAAACAAACCAGTTGAGTAAAAGGAGGAATTAACATATTCAAAGATGTCTGGAAGATAGTGTACTATACTTGTGTGTATTTGAGGAGTTTGGGGCCAAAATTGGGTGGGGGAGGAGGAGGAGAGTCTGATTTAATAATTGTGAATGTTGTGTGTATACTATATCTCACAGAAACAGAAAAAAAAGTGTGCGGACACCCAACCCACCCATAATTCCACCTATGCTCGTGTGTCAAATCTTGCAAGATGTATTAAGTAGAGCAGAGTAAGTTGGAAAACCTACTTGTGTCTGTTGAGAAATTAAGCCATTTTTATAAGTTTGTTAAACCTATGCATTATTCACTAAGTGTTTGGTTTTGTAACTTATCTTCTCCATAATGAAAATCTTCATAATTATTAGGTTTAGAAATGGATTATTCTTCATTTATACCAATTGGTTATTTTTGTACATTTGAAAAGTATTTTGGATAAAAGACGCTCGGCATTTTGTTTCTAAACACAGTCATGATAGTTCTTAGTATTTGATAACTATTTTATGTACCTAAATAATTAAAGGAAGTACTCTTTTAATATAACTGAAAAGTAACAAAATGTAAGCCTACTAAGTAACAATTAACTATGGTATTTTCCATGAATATCAGTAATAGGCTTTCTTATTAATTACCATTACGTTTAAGCAGTGCATTGTGTGCTTCAGGGTATGAGTAAAATTCTGCCAGTACTCAGTGCTGGGACGTATTTGATCTGCTTTTCATCCAGTCTGCATGCTTTCCATTGTACTGTCAAAGCAGACACATTATGACTCACAGAATCTAAATAATCATTAAATTATATTCAAATGAACCAGTAAAAGACCTACAACATTAGTTCCTTTTTTATGCAACAAGATCACGAGAAGTTATTTAGCATTTTTTATTTAAATCATTATTAAACCATTCCAGTAGCCTCATATGGCTGTGTTTTGTATGAGTGGTCATTAACAATAAATGTATTCAAATGACATTTTATTGACTGATGAATAACATCTGAGGTAAGTTTACAATTAGGAAATTTTTAAAAACAATGGTTGTATGTGTTTTTCATAAATTAACCATGTGAACAAAATCCTTCATTGTATGCACATATGAGTATTAGCACTTTTGTATTGAAAATTTCACACACCCCCCCAGCTTAAGGCTCATCCATGGTGGATGCAAGTGACCCTTCTGAATATCAATCCACTCCAGACATTCGATAAGTTAAATGCAGTCTGATCATAAGGCACAAGCCACAAAACCATTCTGTAATTTTTGTCACCAGTATTACTTATTTAATGTAGTCATTTTTTTTAAAAAAAGAATTATGTAAAAAAAACAACAACTGAACATTGAAATTATTTTAGCTTCTATCAATTCCACTTTATTATGTCAAACGATTTTCAACAATTTCCAGATTTTACTTTGGATCCAAAAACTTTCAGTTAGGAAATCTAGTAACTATTATTGTGAGTCTTTTTATTTTTTTTAAAGGGACCTACCAAACTAAGAGAAGTGTTCATCTAGGCTTCTGTTGCTAAAAAAATGTCTGCTTGATACAGTGCTTTAGTATATTTAACCCTGGTTAATAGATTTATAAAGAGCACTAAACATTTTAAGTGTATATTGGGGAATTTATTTTCATTATAAACTTGAAACTTTTAAAGATTTATGAAATAATTTTGCTACAAGTTTAAAAGTAATTGATTGTCTGTTGAGGATAATAAATGAAAGGAGTTATGTCTGAATACAATAATTTATATATATATGTGTATGTATATATTTTTTCATTCATAAAGGTACATTGACTAACTATATTTTACTTTTTCAGGGTATATAAAATTACCTGAAAGGGTAAAAGATGCCATGTAAATATAGGTTGAGGCAAAGAACTGACTAACTATATCTTACTTTTTTAGGGGATATAAAATTACCTGAAAGGGTAAAAGATGCCATGTAAATACAGGTTGAGGCAAAGAACTGACTAACTATATTTTACCTTTTCAGGGTATATAAAATTACCTGAAAGGGTAAAAGATGCCATCTAAATACAGGTTGAGGCAAAGAACTGACTAACTATATCTTACTTTTTTAGGGGATATAAAATTACCTGAAAGGGTAAAAGATGCTATGTAAATACAGGTTGAGGCAGAGAACTGACTAACTATATTTTACTTTTTCAGGGGATATAAAATTACCTGAAAGGGTAAAAGATGCCATGCAAATGCAGGTTGAGGCAGAGAGAAAAAAACGTGCTGCGGTTTTAGAGTCTGAAGGTAATAACATCATTATCATATTATAATTTTCTTTAAACTTTATGTATGTACACTTAATGCATTACATGTTAAATTGTTTGTATATCAGCTTCTGTGGCATTGTTTTACTGTCAAAATTGGCTCTATATATTTTGACAGAGAGATGAATGCATTCTCAACAATATGTTTTCAGTTTGTTATCTTAACAATCTTAGAAATAAAATAGTTGTTTCTCGAGCATTGAATACACCGGCGTATCTTATAAGAGTATTGTCCTTCAACATAGAATATAGTTTGAAAAAGACTAGAAATAATTTATAATAATTTACATATCTTTATTGTGTAATATTAATGTGTTTTGTAGTAGTGTAGGTTTGAAGTGAATATGATATTTATCTTCTAAAATAGAATAAACTAACCCATTAACAACAATAAATTCATTGTTTATACTATTCCTGTGTATATGTTGTTGCTATATATTAATTATAGGTGGAACCAACGAAGTATTGAATTCCATTGTTTGTTTATTTTTTGTTGTTTTTTTGAATATGTGAAAATCAAGTAGGGTTTGAACCTACAACTTCACATATGGAATACATGCTTTAATGCTTTAAACTGACTGAGCCATCATATTTAAAGTGCTGAGATGTGTCAGTTTTCATATTGTTGGTTATTAAGGACACAACTTGAAAAACCAATTTTAGGTGTTTTAAGAGCAAAAATAGAAATTTCAGTGGTTTCACACCATTATAAGGATGGTGTACACAATCTAGATATTATGTTTTATTATAATTTGTTTTATTTTCTTAGGTGTTAGAGAAGCAGATATCAACAGAGCAGAAGGAACAAAACGAGCACGAATCTTAGCCTCTGAAGCACAAAAAATGGAACAAATCAACCAAGCCCAAGGTAAGTTAATTAATATTCAAATGAACTTTATACTTGTTAGTTAAATGATTTTAAATCCAAGATTTTGAACTTTAAACTTTCTCTTTATATATTTTTTGTCTATATAATTTGTTCATTTTTTGCATACATGGTATTACAGTGACCTACATGCATTTATGTACCACAAGTAATCAGAGTTTCAAATACTGTAATGCACATCTTCGGCGATACTTCATAATATCTGTGTGCAAACTGTTTAAAATATGAAATATATTGTATGGAATACAGTAGTTAAATGTACATATTCTAATATCACACATTTGTTAAAATTTTATCAATTAAGAACAATAAACTAATTGAACAGCAACCACAGAAGATACAAAACTGGTTACAGTTGAAGAAGAAAAAAAGATTATAGTATAAAATAAGATTGTTGAATAAAAATATTAGAGCTTTATACTTTATTCTATCTACAGGCTTTCAAGCATCCCAAAATTCCCAGATTTTCGGGACTTTACTAAAATTCCCAAAAAGTTCTCAAAAAATTTCCTAAATAAAGGGTCAAAATGAGAAATTGAACTATATAAGTTTCCTTGTTGCATGTTTCTGTTTAGATATCTGTTTAACCAATGTTTTCTAGCTATATATTTTGCAGGTTCTACTTCAAGCCAGTTTTTCCAGTGAATCCTCATCTTCATCTTGATCATCAGCATACTTCAAAAATGAATACCCATACTTCCATATCACCCTTTTAATGTGGTGAGTGTTAATTAAATGGAAATATTAATATTCTCAATGAAGAAACACTGAAAGAATGTAGTGGCACTTATTTCATTCATACCTGGATATCAGTAAGAATGTTTAATGATAAAGTGAAATCTCTAAAACTGGTCTAGTTTAGGACCAAGTTTTCCATTAGATTACAGAGGTATTTAATGTTCTCACTGTATATTTAACGCATCAAAATAAGTGTCCAGTTTACAGAGGTTGACTAGTCTCTGTTAGGCTGTTTTAAAGACTTCACTGTATATTGAACTAAATGTTCTTTATCAGATGATGTATGAAAATTTTTGATTACATTTTGGGTGTAGAAATATGTTCACATACAATGACACATAGACAAATAAAGTTTAATGCTAGTTGGCTACGGTAAATCAATTCACTGGGAGTTAAAGTTGAGGGTTGGTGAAAAGCTGATTTATCTTCAGTAAAGGGATTTTGTATGCTGTACAAAAAAAAATTCCTTGTTGACAAGTCTGGATTTAAGTAAGTTATTATTCCCTCTAAGGGACTTAAACACTGGGCCTTGACTAAAGCTAAATTTAGTACAACATAGAAACATTTTGGGGTGAAAATCGTGTCCGAAGTCTCCAGCAGTGGGTGTATCAGTGTTATAATGAAACAGAATATGCATCAGATATGTCATAAGGAAAAGGAAACAAGCAGACATCTTTTGTAGCTAAGAATCAAATTAATAAAAAGTATAGCACACAAACAGAAGTTCTTTGAGGGATGAAAGTTGCTTACAGGGAGTTATTCCTTCTTGTCGTGTGATGGCAATGCAGAGCTGTTCAGAAAATGTTTCCAGGAAATGTTGTTGCAGAGAACTTTACAATGAGTAGAACTAAGATATTTCCCTTTGTATGGGATGACTTAGGACCTTGCTTTTGAAATATCTTGTTCGAAAGGACCTGGAATGCTTCAGGATTTGTGATGCATTATGATGAAACTAATAACTCTTGACTATGTACACAGTATGTGATCTCCTTGTCAGATACTGTTCAGATCAGAGAGGAGAATTTATGAAAAATGTGATCTTTTCAGGTACTGGTCAAATCAGAGAGAAATCCACAAACAATATGAAGTATCTATCCACTACTGAAGACATTACTTACATCATTGGAACAAATTCACTTTTTTCTAAGCTTGCAGTCTGTTTGATAGATTTATGAAGATATTTTGGCAAGAGGACCCTTTATGTATGCTCAAATTGGATGACGAGGAACCCACTTTGAGAATAATAATGCCTGGAGATGTCTTGAATGTGTAATGAAGAAAAACTTTAACATAAGTTTAACATAACAGCAAATGTACAATGTTTCGACAAGGTTTTGTCATCATCAGGTACAAGTAGTTTATACTGACATAGATATATATATATATATATATATACAGTATGGAACAAAGAGGTCACATGACCAAATATTGTTGCATGACTTAAGAAAAAAATATCTTGGCACCCCAGGATGTTGGTTTAGAGTAGAGTTGTTTTGTTCAATTAAGATGAATTCCTTGATTTTTTGTTTGTTTAGGTTTGTTTTTTTTGTTTTTTAAGTATGATATATGCAATGGTAACCAATGCTGAAGATGAGGATTCAGAGGAA